AGTAAATAACACTGCACAACAAAAGCAAAAACAAAAACCATAACTAAGCGCTGTATTTATGAATGAAGATCTCGCCTCTGCCCCTCTCCCTCTCCCGCTCCCCCCTCCCCCCCCCTTCTGCCTGCCTCTGGCGCCGTTGATTTGGATGATAATGAGGCACGATTAGCATTTTGGCTGCATTTTTTTTGCGCTCAGCTCCGGTTTGAGCTCGCGGCCGGGTATCGGGCCTCTCGCACCTAGCTGTCTGCTCGGCGCACTTGCTTGATAATTATTAGCATAATTTTCTTCTTATTTTGCATTAATTTGAGTGTGCGAGTGTATTTATGTGTGTGTGTGTGTGTATTGTTGTTGTGCCACCGAATACAAACTTTGGCATCTGTTGTTGGCAATTAATTTTGGCCATAATTTGAAGACCAGATATAAACTGGTCTCTTTTTCGCCGCTTTATTTGCCGCGCAATACACAATTAAGGCGCTGCGAGGGAGGCGACTTTTAGGCAACTCTTGAGCGCCTAATTGTTGTATTATTTAACGCTTAAATGCATAAAAAACAAGGCACAAAAAGCATGCAAATAAATGGGGAGAACGTAAGACTGAAAAATGCGGGGAATCCTAATGAAACCTAGCTTTGGTTTGGGCAAATTTCATGAATGTCGATTGATAATTGATTGATAAAGAAACCTATCATAACTCAGCTGTGGCCAAATTGAGTTTAAGAAGTGAGATTTCTCTGGGCTGCTCGAAAATCCGACAACATGCATACGAAGCTTAAAGGAAAATTGAAATGAAGGTTTCGGGAAATTTCATATATAAACCTATTCTAACTCCGCTGTGCTTAACTTAATTTAGAGAAGCTTGATTTCTATGGGATTTAGCATACGAAGTTTAAAGGCAAATTGAAAAAAAGGTTTTGGGTAATTTTATATATAAACCTTTTCTAACTCCACTTTGACTAAACTGATTTTAAAGAAGTTGGTTTTTTATGTGGGCTTGAAAAGAAATAACTGGAAAAATATGTTGTCCCAGGAAAAATCTTTATATAAATACCTATTCTATCCTATATTTACCTATCCTAGCTGAGTTCTTGCTGCATCAATTCGCAGAAACTTGATTTCGGTGAGTAAGACGGATAGATTTGAATAAAAAATCAAACATTCGTTAGCGTGTATCATAGCTGCTTTCATGCCCTTTACCCAACTCATATGCATTTTTAATCCTGCTCTTCGTTTGCAAACAAAACGTTTCATTAGCTAATGTCAAGACTCAGCTGCAATCCAAAAGACAGCGACGCACAGGAACCCATCCCAGCAGACAGTCGAGTCGGTCAACTCTTTACCATATGCAGGCACGAAAAAAACAGGAAAAATTGCGCGCCAAAAAGTGGCACACCAATACACACACACAGCAGACTATAGACAAGAAGCAGCCTTCAATTGAAGAAGCTAACTAAGACAGGAGCTAAAGACAACCCTTTGGCTGGGCTACCCTTACGACAAGGTCAGACGAGCTGCTCACGTAGGCAAATTTGCTCGCAGCTCAAGACTCGAACTCCATGTGCAACACCCCCCACTCCCCTCCCCTGGCCGGCTTTAACAGCGAGATGCAAGCAACCATTTATCATTTTTTTTGGCAATTTGAAATTTGTGCAATTTTGCGATTTTGCATGCAACGGCCGTTAAAGTCTCTGCTGGCTGCAATCAGGACGCGGCGCTTATCCTTTGGCCTTTATCCTTTCACTTTCGCTACCTACAAACACACACGCACACACACACACATACACACAGAGAGCACCCCAGCAGTTTGCCAAATTCCAACACAGACACACGCAGGACTCACTGTCATATGCAAATTAGTTGAGCCCTAAAAAGAAATAAGAAAAATAGAAAATTTTCGCGTCCCGCCAAAACATAAAATACGCAAACGGAACACAAAATGGCAATTGTTGTTGCCATACTTATGCCCCGTAGCACCTCCCCCCACCCGAACCCGAACCCCTTCGCGGTTCTGGGTCTTCGTCTAACCCATCGCCAGTTGGGTTAAATGCATTTTGGTGCGCCTCATTGGCTTTGGCATTGAGCGACGCGCCGCTCTGCGACTCGCAACTGTCAATGGGACCAGGCAAAGGGCAAATATGCAAATGAGTTTGCGTTTTTTTTTATTTTTTATTTATTAACTAATTTATCTCTGCGCCGCTGTGACACGTCCGCGTCCCATAGGCAACCCGCCTGGGTCGTGAATTATTGGCGAATGGCGGAAACAACGCAGCAAAAAGCGTTGCAACACCTGGTTAGAAATATTTGTTCTCGTTTTTATTTTTTTTGCCGCGGTTTTTTATTGCCTGCCACGTGGAGTGCTCTGCTCTGATAGTTAGTTGCCAATCAGGTCGCTAAGTAGTTAAGTAAATGACTGTGTCCTTTCTCATTGTTGTGTCCTTTCGAAAGCCAAAGAGAAGGCTTTGAATAGTCATTTAAATGTATTCCGATTGCTAACTAAAAACTCTGTATTTCAGTGGAGAAATTGTGCGGAAAGAGGTGAAAAATATGGAGTTAGTATTCTAGTTCTATATATGTGGTAGAAATGTGGCCGTCTTTCCATCGCGATCTTCGCTTAACAAAGCTCGGAGATCAGATCTTCAGATCTTCAGCAGCCGCAAAGGCCATCGAGCTGATGAGTCCTGGCTGACCTCATTACAGAAAGGCGCTTCCAAAGGATATACCCCTGCCTATAAACTGAATTGTTTGAATGCCTTGCAGCCTTGGGCTATGTCCTCAATCCCCTTCATTGCAAATTTTGAATTGCCCCCAATGTAAAAATCATGTAAGCCACAAATTTCTAACTATACCCTTATTTAACAGTCTTTCGCTTGGTAGAGATCAGAAGTTCCTCATCAATTCCAGCGCATAATAAAAGAAAATGCAATTTCAAAAACAAATTTTATTAAATTTCATTCATTTGTGCACTTCAAATAGAGAATGACATGAAATGCTCACATAACTTATCATTTATCATTTATTTCAAAACACAAACAACACATTTGACAGTAAAAGAAATATATATTGAATTTTATACTTGATTTAATTTTATAATTATTATTCACATAACATAATATTAATTATGTAAATTATTTAATTTTATATTAATTAATTATTCTTCGATTAAAATTTATTATACTTATAATATTACTTCATAATGCCAATCAACGAAATTCAATTCAATTACTATTATTATTATTCAAAGTTTTTATTGCAGTTGAGTTAATTACAAATTTCAAAATGCACAAATTATTCTTTTAACTAATTACATAAAAAATATTCTCACATTTAAACAAAAAAAAACAAAACAAACACAAATTCCAAAACATTTCCTCTAAATAACAACTTTTCCCTCAGACAACACGCGTCGCATTTGATTAAATGCCGAAAAAAAAATGCAAGTTCTCGTTTTAAAGAAAATCAAAAGGAAAGAAAATGAAAATAGAAATATAAATTATTCATTGAAAAGTTAAATATGCCATAAGTTGGCTTTTAACGCTCTCACTTTCAGCGCCTTTTAATGCGGCCACTTAATCATTGGAGAGACCTCTCTCTAACCCATTTGCATTTGCATTTGCATTTGCATGCGCCGCTTGTGGAGCATCTCGTCTGAACAATATGAAAATTAAAAACCCTGTTCACACCCACCGAAGCGTCGAAGTTGTCACGGCGACGCGACAGGAAACCGCACGGACAGAAACCACGCTTCCAACTTAGATCGAAAAAAAAAATATACCATATATAAAAAAGTAAAAGCAACAACAAGAGGAAAAAACATATGTCAATAAAAATCTTTTAGAAATTCATTTGCATAATGCAGTCAAAAGGGCAAACGTTGACTAAACCCTGGAGTGCTCGTTGGTTTTCCTGTCACCAGAACCAAACCCAGACCCAGACCCAGACCCAAACCCGGACCGTGCCCGAAGCCGAACGCAGGCCGAACTACAGTCCAGGTGAGGGCCTGAGAGCAAGCGACATAAAAAACAACTAAGCGACATCAAAAAGACGACAACTGCAACAACTACAACTGCGGCTATGGCACGCATATTTGTTGCCTTCGAAATAAAAAACAAACACAAACGCGCTCCGACTGATATCCGCAAGGACTGGGGTTGGGGGCAGGCCACATCCAGGGGTGCATATCATTAGCGCTAGAGTCGCAGCTCAGAAAAACTGGCATACATTTTCCGACTGACACTTTTTTTTTCCTATATGCCGCCTGGCACACATCAAAGGCCAATCAACTCGCGGCCAACTCGACGGAACGTGCGTCTTATCGGAAACGGAAGTTCACCCTTAACCCTTGCCTTAGCCTGTGCACAAACCACAACTGTTCGCCGTGTGTGGTGAGTTCCGAGGCATGCCATAAAAAGGCGCAGAAATCCTTTGCAGCGGTGGTGAATAAAATGGGAATAATCTTTACTATGTTCATGTTTGACTATAAGATAATATCTATCACATCATATATGACTATAAGAACAGCTTTCTTCAGACGCATCCTTCTTTAGAATAGCCCAGAAATTGGAATATGTCGTCTTAGCAACTCTTGTATGTATTCACACTAAAAGTCTTTTCTGTCTGGTTCAACTCATAGTTTGAACCATCTTGCCAGCTTGACGTTCGGTTTGTGCAGCTGCACATTTATGAAGCCAGCTTTTGGCTAAGACTTTTATATTTTAAGTATTTTTAATATTTGTTTAAAACAATTTAATTTGCAATTTAGAATTGCCCGTTGTTCTAGAAATATTTCAAGCCGTAAATATTTTCAAATACAAGCTACGGGCTAAATTCGATCTCTACCCCAAATTGCCATCTTCCAAATATAGTTGGAGAAAAGCAATAGATGGGTCCAAAGTTATTCCCATTTTGGAGCTAGGTCTATTTGATAGGTTGTTAATTTAGGCTTCAAGGTTCATAGTTGAATTTAAATTAGAATATAAATTAAGAATCAAACAAATTAAGAGAAAAACTTAAGTTTTAAATCAAGATATATTTATACAAGTTTTCGTAGCTTTGCAATATCTTTGAACATTTCTCGACTTCAATTTATCGTAGCTTTGCAATATTCTCAGCAAATTTCTCGCACTTCAACTGCAGCTGGCAATCCGAGAATTCCGGCTACGTCTGTCCATGTGTCCGTCTGTCTGTCTGGTCTGCTGGGTGCTGTCATAAAAGTGCTCTCCGATTGCATAATTTGGACAACGCCTTTTAATTGAAACATAAACGCCATTTTTATTGCGCATACGCACGCGCCAATGATTGAGGCATTTTATTTACCGTAAAAACAACAAAAAACAAAAACGAAAAACAACAGCGAGAAGAAGAAGAAGCTGAAGCGACGCAATTTGCGCAGAAATTGCAAATCGCCCATAAGACATAAATGAAATTTTTATAATCGAAACGAGACGCTGACGGAGGTCGCCACCGGCCGCGCATGCGCCGAATTTTAGCGTCGTTTATTTTTTTGCTTTGTTTGTTTTTTTTTTTTGTGATATGATTTTAACTGTTATTGTTATTAAGTTTTGGGCCAGTGACAGCAGCAGCGAGTGGCCGGGGAAGCCGACAAAGCCACGTCTTGACGCCCCAACGTGACATGTCCAGGCCAAGCTGCGAGTCAGTGTCAGAGTCAGAGTCCAGGATAACGCGCTTTGATCTTCGCCTTGGCGGCGGCGGCGGCGGCAGCCAAAGACTGAAAGTCAGATCGGCGGGGGTGTAGCACGTGCAGGCTGTGCCTCTCTGGGGGCGATGCTATCATTGCAGCCGACTGCTTTCTTTAATAAGCTGCAGCTGAAGCTGAAGCTGCGGCCGGCCGGTCGGCCGGGGCACGGCGCAAAAACAAAAGACTTAAGGCACAAACGCGTTTTCATAGTAGCCCCTCACAGCGCGATGCTTTACACCTGATAACCAAGGCAACAACGTGGCGAACGCATCGACGCACTCATTGAGCCCGCCACAGGACTGTGGCCACGACGACGACGTCGACGACGACGACGTCGACTGCGACTGCGACTGCGCTATGCAGTTGTGATGTAATCAGGCTCGGCTGTTGCCGCTGCCTCAGCTCCTCGATTCTGCGCGCGGTTCCTGCGATTTGCCGTACGTGATATTGTTAAAAGCTTTTAATTGAAGTCATCTTCTTGCTCAAAACAGGTAGCTGCCTCTGGAGTCATCGTCTGCTGCTGCCGCTGCTGCTGTCGATGTCGAGCATTTTTATGATTAAACTAATTTTTCTTGCCCGCAACTCTTATAGCAGGTGATGCGGCTCCAGTTCCCTCCGCCTGCCAAGTTATTTTAATAAACTGCGCGACGTGCCACGCATTTTGAGAGACGATCGGTTTCAATTTTATTATTGTTGTGGCTGCCGTTGCCGTTGCCGCTGCCTCTGCTGCTGCTGCTGCCGCTGCTTTTAGATTATTTCCAGCACTTGTAAGTGTTGTTAGAAGGGAGTGCCACCAACTGGCTGACCAGGCCGCAACGTGCTCATTTAACAGTAGCCAGCGAACGTCGCTCATAATAACTTAAGCCAGCATAAAATATTTTAATGATAGACATAATAGCCACAGTCCCAGGAGCTGCGGCGCTTGCTGCTGCCCCATACACAAGATAAACAAAACATTTGGACAAATATGACAAGCTAAGCGCCACTGGCCAACAGAATGCAGCTAGTTTTACAAGCAGTTTGTTTCCTGTAGTAATGAAAATTAATTGAATTAAAATATGAGCACAAATTGAGGCACAAAATCACATTTACTAAGAGTGCCTGACCAGAAAGAGAAAGAAATGCAGAAAAGTAATCAGTGCATTGCATTTGTAATGCATTTTATTTGAAAACTAACAAGTATTTTAAATTTAATTTGTTTTTTTTTTTTAATTTATATGCAACTTCAATGCAGAGCTTAAAACATTACAAAAAAAAATTATAGAAGCTTGACAAGATATAACTCAAAATTTGGAACATTAGTATATCTAGTCGACATATTATACATGAACTTTGATAGTAATAATTCGGAATATTTGTGTTCTTCATTTAAGTGCAGAAATAATCTACTTTGTCCATTTGGCTAAAGCCTTGGCCTCTATCTACGTACCATACCTGTTATGTTATAGCCAAAATTGATGGACGATTCTTGGCAAAAAAAAAATAAAATATATATAAAATATATAGAGGTCAAAAAATGATCAAAAATATGTCAATAAAGAAAATCTTTTTGACATAGCTATTGCTGTTTTAAGTTCAGAAAGAGTTTGCACTCAGGACTTGGCAAGAGATAGTCTTAATTATAAACATAAATTTAAAAAATAATAATTCTGAAAAAATGCATGCATTCTAATTTGAATGCAGATTCAAACTGAAGGCACAGCTCTGGCCAAATTTGAAAATCGGTTGAGTTTTGATCAAGTAATGGGAGTTTAAAATCTGGGATGGGTTTTTACTGTGAACTTGGACAATTTGTTTTATAATTTAAAAGCAGCACCAAGAAATCAAAACTTGAGCATGTGTTCTGCGAATTGAAACAGTTTTCAGAAAATAACATGCTGAAATACAATATAACAATATACCTTGAAATCCTGAGGGTCGCAAGTTCAATTCTTATTTACCGCCGACATATCAAGTATGTAGCATGCCTTATGGCCCATTACAACTTGTTTAGCTTCTATAAGTCAATTCACAAACAGGCAGAGGCGCTGCAGCAGTTTCTGTAGGACATTTCATATGCGTAATGCATATAATTTGCGAGGGGGCAGCTTGTGCTGGCCACCTTGGGGCCATTGAAATAAAGTTGTGAAGTAGCGCATAAAATAAATAACAGACACTTGACCAGCCGCGGGTTCGGGCTCTAAGGATTAAAATCAATGAAAACTGTATACATACATCTCATCTATGGCTGCTAGCCAGGAGCGGGCATGACTCGGACTGGGCCTGTGTCCGATGCGAGCTGCAAGATACGAGCCATAACTATGTGCAAGACCATTTCATTTTTCAACAATTGGCCAAAACTACGCCTCAATAACAAAACGTGGGGCGTGTGCTGTTTGGGGCCACAACAAAAGTAATGAGCAGTTGGCCACGCGCTCCCTAAAAACATTCATGAATGTGAATACGAGTACGAGTGCGAATGCGAATGCGAATGCGAAGCGACTGCAAAAGGCCTCCAGGCGAGCGGGCAAAAGGAGCAGCAGGCTTTGAGCTGCACTCGAGCCTATAATTATAATTGAAATCAATTGATTTATTTGCGTTGCCAGCTCGAACTCTATGCCAAAACGCATAAAGCCATAAAGAAAAATGGCAACAATACAATTCAAGAGCTGCTCTTGTTGTTGTTGTTGTTGTTGTTCTGGCTGTGTGTTGTGTTCTGGTCGTGTGTGCTTAATTGTTGTTATTGGCCCGACTGCTTGGCCAATGTGTGCCGCTGGCCAATTTGTTGGCCAAGCAAGCCCCAGACTAGGCTGACGACGATGTCGTTCTCGCCGACGTCGATAAGGTCATGAGCAAGTGTCATTCCAGTGCATAAATTATTTATTGGGGCGGTTGCATAGCTGCAGTTGCAGCCTGTAGTAGAAGGAGCAGTTAAAATAAATGTTGCACAGAATGGTTTAATGTGTGCTGAAGGGCAACGTGATCGAGAATTGCTGAAGTTTAGGCAAGGCAAGACAAGCTCCAGAGGCCAGGCAATCGATTATGTCCAGAGCTGGGAATAAACCAAAAAATATAAATAAATAAATTAAAGTAAAGGAATAGTCAATAAACTTGGTTCATTTAAAGTTGATTTGAGAATAAAATAGAATAATTTTCAAGAGTTACAACAAAATTTACTTGCTAAGTATGTCGCATAACTAGGTTGATGATTCCCGGCAATCTGCTCGATCTGTTGCTTGCACCTGCTACCTGCCCCCCCCACGAAATACACTTGTGCTCTGTTGTCAACGACAGTAGCTTTGTCTAAAGCACAAACAAAAAAATAAAAAAAAAAACAACAACCTTTTGTGGCCATTCCACAGGCCCCGATGCCATGCCAACCTGTCTCACATTTCAAAATACATAATTAAGTATGCACAGCGAGTTTGTTAGATAAAAATCTTAAAAACCCTTAAAAAGCTTTAAGCGCCTAAGACACACGCACAACACACTGAGAGAGGAGAAGGCACAACAAAAAAACCCAAAATGAAAAAAACAAAAAAAAAACAACAACAGCAAGAAGAAGCGTAGGGGCAATACTTGATGGATAACTTGATGAGTATCGGATAAGTTGTGGGGACTTTGTAGCACAGCATAAATGTGAGGCGCGTATACATAAAATAGTCGAATGGCAGCAGCAATAACAAATAACAACAACAACAACAACAGCAGCAACAACAAAGACACGTAGTCGATGTATGATACGAAAACACTTTGGCGACAATCATGGGAAAGATTTGGTTTAACTTGCTTTAGTTTGGTTTGCTTTGGTTAGTTTTTTGTTGTGGCTATCATTTCAGGCCCAACCGAGCTGTGCGGCCATTAAACGAACACCGGCCCAAGAGGTCAGAGCGATAACGAGCGAAAGCTAAAGGCGGGTTCAGGCTGGCCTCTTGGTGGTGCAGGTGGTGTCGGTGCCGGTGCCGCAGTCGGAGCCGGAGCCGGTGGTGTGGGCTAACATCGTTTAACGAAGCCGATTTGTAACAGAGCTTTCACATGTGTCTCCAAATCGAAAACCGAAAACCGAAAAACTTAAAAACAAAAACTTGACCAGCCAATCAGTTAAAAGTTATAAGCCAGCAACAACAACAATAACAGAAATCAATAAAGTTCCCAATGCCAAATGAAACAGAGAGAGAGAGAAGAAACTTAATTAAAAGGTCGCTGTTAATGTTGTTAATTTGAAAATATTGTCGAAGGAAACGGCTGACACACACACACACACACACATACGCACACCAATAAACAGATGGGGACAAATACAAAAGAGTCAGCGTTATAAAATCGTAGAGAAACGCCATAAAATACGGCAGCCGCAGCCGCAGCCGCAGTCGACGCAGCTAATTTTTATGGGGCCCCGCATGCAGGCTGCTGCGCTGACAGACATCTCGGCGGGATCTGTGGTTACTCCAATCAAGCCTACAAGACATGTTGCTATACGAAATAAAAGCAAACTGAAAAACAACTTAAATTTAAAACAAAACAACATTTGGCTATTTGCATTTGACAACAAGTTCGTTGCCTAAGTCATTTGTTTGAAGCTGCTCCAAATATTTGACTTATTTGACATACATAGACAAATGCTTGGCGTCAGTCTTTATAGAGAGAAACAATAATGAGAACATATTGATTAATTTATATGATAACTTGAATAATTGCGACATGGAATTAGCAAATTGGAACTGGAAACAGCATCTGGCCAAAGAGTTTCTATACCAAGCTCAATTAAGGGCCACTTCAACAATGGTATAGATTATCTTTATAGGAAAGGTTGAGCAATTCTTGTTCACTTACCGAACCCCTAATAACAGGCCATCTCCCCTCTGCACATTAACATTTTTTATTAATGCCAATTTGTTTTTGACAAGTTCGTTGCCTAAGTCTTTTGTTTCAAATTTCTCTAAATATATATTTTTTTTCATTTTTCTCATTCTTTTTATTATTATTTTACAAATGCATGGAGTCTACAGAAAGAAGCAATAATGAGAACTTACTAATTAATTTATATGAGATTGAATTAATTTTTCGACAAGTTCGTTGCCTAAGTCATTTGTTTGCGGCTGCTCTAAATATTCAACTAGTTATTGGAATAAATTTACTCCAATCGGATGTGCTAATACTTTATAAAGAGCAGCAAAATATTCAATTAGCACTTATCAATTAATTTGTCTGATATCTTAGAAATCAACCGACTCCTCAACCAAGTTCGTTGCCTAAGTCTTTAATTAAGTAAATATTTGTATACAATATTTGCACACTTTCTTACTAATTACTTTTTTTTGTTTGTTTATTTTTATACAATATTTTTCTCTGAAGTGCACTCAAGATTCATATCCAATCACACTATATATTTATATATATATTTAAATATATGTTCGTGTATATAGTGCGCCTCTGATTTTCTGTTGTGGCCAATGGCCTTAAGAAAATTTCACTGAATTTTCAATGTGACAACGGCGATTTCCTCAATCAAAAGGAAGGCATTGAAACGGCCAACAGAGCTGCAACAAACTTGAAATACACAATAATGTTATAATAATAATAATGCATATAATGCATATAAAGAGAAAAGACTGGCAGCAACGGCAGCAGCAACAACAACACAAAGCAGACGAAGGGGGCGGACGGTTTGGGTCGATTGCTGCGTGGCCT